GAATTTCAATGCTTGATTATTGTTTTCATTTAAAGACTCATATAGATTTAAGTTGAGAATCTCCTCTACTTCATAAAAATAATTCCAATTCTTTATTCACTATTAAAAACAGTCTGATGAAGAGAACAGTTGCAATTATGAATGACTTGATTATTGCGTTTGTATTCGTTAAGGAATAAAGCAGTGCCATCGTCTAAATGTCCGAGGGTAAATATTTCTGGATAGGCTCGAGGGGCTTGTCGCCTTTTCGAGAAACGAAACGGGGTGGTATGTAAACCAGAACACACGGGTGAACACGATACTTTTGTCCGGCCCCGCAGCAGTTTCCACAAAGTGTACGCTTTTCCTTGTTGGGCCCATTGTCCCGGGGACTCACTGCCCACCATTGTGCCCTGTTTGGAGGTAAAATATTTGCCACGGAAAGAAATTGTTTTCCGCGTTTTGCGGGCCCTCGACCATCTGCCCCTCGTCGATTCTGCCGCCCGATTGGATCAGGTTGCATGCCTATTCCTCAACTCCTTTAAAATTCGAACGTTAGAGTTAAAATATTTAGGAATTCTTCGAGCTGATTTAACAATTTCCCACGCAATTATACAATAAGATTGCAAGAAACCGCTTCACTCATGGCCACCGCATTCTAATTATAACAATTTTCTTTCTCACCGTTCGATAATATCGAGCATCGCTCAGGGTCGAAAAAATACTTGTAACGCTTTATTAATCGGCATGATGAGTTTCTAGCCTCGCGCAGATCTGATCGGCAACCGGAATCGTTTTTCAGAAGACATTCCAGATTTCACGACGACCTTGTCCCAGTAACAGACGTGTCGTAAGACTCGCAGGATATCGTGCATTTCCTTCTCTATTTCTCAAAGGAATCATTCGCATTCATTGTTACGAGCTGAAATCATTTCCTTTTCATTTAACTTCATAAAAGTTGCGTTATCCTAAATTCCGGGAATTTACGTGCTTATTCAAGATTCAGAGAAATCAAAAGAATTTATGGATTAGACTAAAATTAATCACATATTTTTTATTTCATTAAGCAATATTAGTTTCTATAAGGAAATTATTTTATAATACAGTATTCGTATTATTTATTATACTTTTAATACTCTGTGTACATCATATCATGTATTATCGTATTATCTATAATTTTTGTTAATCATGAAATCCGTCCAGTCATAAGGAAAGTCTGTAGTGATTCATAGGATGGGAAGTTACGCCAAGTATCGCAACGTTTTCACCTATTTCGAGAATCGTGATCGGCATGGTAGATGTGACACAGAAAACTGACACCTTGTGTCAAACGCCGTGACGTCAACGTCAGAACTGTTTCGCATTCTCAGACTATGGGAAACGACGATGTCCTTTGACTCAGAGAAACCGTCAAAGAAATCGTGTTCGATTTGCATAATAACGAGCACTGATTCGCCTTTCAACGTTTCTGAAACGAGTTCCTCCGTTGGGCGTGTCCCTACGTGAATTGCGCTTTGTCTTTGGAAACAGATAAAAAACTTCACTGAAAATGTTATCAAAAAATTGTTGAATAGAATATTCGGTGAATGTATCAGCAAGTCTTTTATGGATTTCATTTCAAGAAAGAAATGAGAAACAATGTATGAAACGGTGTTCTATCTTTGTAATGAAATGGAAGGAAGTTGTTGTTGTCAATAAGATTGTCGAATAGAATATTCATTGAATGTATTTGCAAGTCTTTTTTAGATGCGATCTCATGAAAGAAGTATGAGTATAACAGTGTTCTATCTTTGCAATGAAGGAAACAGCAGAAAGATACTATTATTAAAAATATTTCTAAATAGATTAGGAAAAGCAAGAATTAGCAAGTATTTCATTAAAAATCTGAATAAACGATAGACACAGTGCATAAAATATCCCTTCCACGTGGTATCTTCGTAATGAAATTTTGAAATAGCAAAGAGCTGCTATTATTAAAATATTTCTAAAGAGGCATGGAGCAATTAGCAGGTCTTCCATTAAAAATATAAAGGCACACAATGCATAAAATGGTATCCTATCTCGTTGGCGAATCTAGAAAGAAAAAAGGAATAGCAAAAAAACGCGAGGAGCGTGCGCGGCGAGGCCGGAAGTTACGGTAAAGTGCGTGCAATTAGAAAATAACCTAAATTCAAGACGGCTCGCGGTTCGTGTTGAGAACGATCTCGCCAGAAGTAGAAGCGTCGCTTAAACGTCGACCGTCCCGACGAGGGAAATGATCAATTATCAAGAGCAGACCCACGTGGGCCGTACTTTAAGTCACAGGCCGCGCGATGCAGCTGTGTCTGTCACCTACTTAACTATTTCGTCACCAGCAAACTCAATTTATTATTCTTATAACAGATACTTTTATCATTTTCATTCACTGATCAGAACTGAACTTTCCTCGTTCAAAATTCAGATACGTCAACAGATGAACTAGAAGAATAATTAATAAAATAGTAGAATTATAGCAAATTTTTATTGTTATAGAATTTGTAAGAAATCTCTAATTAAATAAAACATTACTGAAAATCTTATAACTAAATATTAAATCTCTCACGATTAAAAATGTAGATAGAATTAACTGAATTGGACCGCGTGAACTCCAGAGAAGGCGTGCACACTTAGAGACTTGAACGGCCGCAAAGGACGCGAGCTGCCAGGAATGTTTCCATCGCTCGACGACATTCTTTATGCGTTCACGGTAAGCGACGCTTGACATTTCTGATACTCGATCGAAAGTTAACCGTGTAACTCGCGCGATCTGTTTCTTACAATTTTAGACATCATCCGATTTTTATTGTCGACGAAAACAGGAAATAAAGTTCATTTTATATTATCTGTCGCATTTTTATTTGAAATATGGAGTTCCATCTAATCAAATGTCTATTCTTATTATAACTTTTTAACAGAAAATTGTATTATTTTCTATGAGAAAGAATCAAGTGGCGCCTTGAGTGACTTAATTCGAAGATCGATTTATTTAGCTTGTCAAGTGACAGTGACGTGTCAATAAAAGGTGACTCGATTCGTCATGGCAATCAGATTCGTTAAACGCCTCCGAGTACACGCGTACCTACACTTCCTCAAGTTTTAGGCCACTCAATTGAAAGATTATACTAAATCATTAAGGTAATTATTGCCTAAATCAAAAATATTCAAACTGGTTTGACATTCCTTGTCACAACTTGTTTTTTAAATGCACGGTGTAATGAATAGTCTTTTAAAAACGTATTTTACTTTAGAGCTGTTAAAATAAATGCAATGAAATAAAGAATATTGGCATTAAATACAAATATTTTCAGAAGTGAACAACTTCTATTTACTCCATTCTGGAACTAAAAATTTTCTCAATGTACAAAATGATTTACAAAAGTCTTATATTTATAGCTGTCTTGTATTTATAGCTGTTTATTTTTAACCTTTCTCTTGATTAATATAGCAGAGCAACAACTACTTTAAATAAATCGTACAGTCATGATCATGTAACAAATCATGCGATAAGTATGCAACAGGTGTCTACTAATTTTTATATAAAATATTAGAAAAAACTGTCAGTGTTCAATTGCGATTTTTTTTTTCTTCTGTTCTTAAAACATTTCTTGAACGTACTTATTACAATTCTTTTCACGTTCTCTTGGTAAGAGTAGAGCCGTGTATAAATAGAATATATCAAGGGAATATCGATTCCCGCGGACGTTATGCAACCGTGCTGATGCACCGCGCGATTATACACCATTTTCCTTAAAGCGTGTCGCCGTGCGTCGCGACAACTCCAATTAGCGGATATTTATGTAAGCGAAAATGGAAAAAACGGGGAAAGAATTAACGCGGCGCGCATTGTTTGTGGAGCACGCCGGCCGTTGCGCAAACGCGTATCCGCTTTCGTCGAATGAAAGGAAACGTGGACGCTTGATTTTCATCTAGATCGTTCGATCGCAGGAAATTTAAAAAATAATTTTGTTCAGAACGACCCCGTAATTGTTTAAAGTATCTCAAAACTGTTTTAATGTCCTAGTCATAAAATGCATTAACCTACTTGCATCATAAGAAAGTATGAAAAATGTATGCAGAAGTACGAGACGTATCTTATCATCAATCTTTTTTTAAATTATATTTAAGCAGAAAAATTACAAAATATGGTGTCCAGTACTGATGTGTGTACTATAATAATTCTGCAGCAGTTTTT